AATTGCAGGGCTGCGCATTTCCCTTAAAATGTAGAATCAAAACACGGAGTTTGTTTGAACAGAGGACTGTTTTTAGTTTCAGCAGCCGAACATGAAACCGCAAGAGGCGAGTTCTGCCCACTTACGAGATAATATTTATTAAAAAAAAAAAGCTACGATCGGGCTGAGCGCACGGTCTGCTTGCAAATGAGCATATTCATCTTAGTCGGATTGATGTCGCATATTGGATCAATGGTGATAGGGCACCACGGTGGCTAGGAGATGTGAACTACCTCGCCTGGTATACAGAAGGTCGTGGGTTCGATCCCGACCCTGACGCCTGCTGCTGTATATTTGGAGTCTGTGTGTCTCTCTGGCTCGCGGTCGCGTGGATTTTTCTCCGGGTCGTCCAGTTTTTCCCTCAACGTTCAGAATTAACATCACGCGTTTACAGTATTTGGCTGCTACAATTTTCCACATGATAAGTCATTTAGTTGAGCTGTCATTTGTGGCCAGGTCGCCTCTGAAAAAGAGCTATACAGTTCTGGTAAAATAAAACGTTTAGTTTAGTATATAATAATGATGATGATGCCCATGACCCCGTAAAAGCCTCACCGAGTTACAAGACTCTTTGTAATGAGGGCACCGCTGCATGAGATAATATTTGGCCAAGTAACGAGTACTGCACCTTCAATATGGGAAGAAACTGAGTGTCGGGGGGGGGGGAACAACCACCACACGTACGAGGGAGTAACACTCAGATGCCTGCACAGCCGAATCAAGAATCCATTGCTGTAACGTACCACCTCCTGGCTTCCTCGCAGCACAAGCCTGCAGGACGCCTGGCAACCCCCGAGGTAGTTCCCCGTACACGCACGAACCATCCTCAACATTGCATTGGCTTCCGCGATCTGGCGAGATGAGGCACACTGAGGGTGATTTGTAGTAAGTCAGTGTGCTGTACAGGAGACCCTTGAATATCGTGGGGTGAGTTTTGGCCTTTCGCCAGCGGTGCGGGGCGCACGAAGGACTCGAGGCAGTGAGTGGCACCTCTCAACCTTTGCAAGCATCTCGCGGGCAAAGACAAAGTTCCCCCGTGTAGCTCATGAATAGACCGTTAGGGCAAGTGCTGTTAGCGAGTAGCACCTATGAATGGCGGCACGGCACACGAGGGGGTGGGTGGCCCGCCCGACTGCCCACCCGCTTTTGTATCCCCAGTGGCGATGTTTACAAATGTTTACACGTAGCACTTATGTATTCGTTTGAGGCTGAGTCGACCTAGGGGAGGCCCAGGACCCATTCAGATGATCGTCAAAGGTGCTGGGCGTGAATGGTCGAACTTGGGTGGCCAGGTTCGTAGCGCAGCGTGGCGCTAACCACGACACGACCGCTCCCCATTCGCGGACAAACACAAACACACACACCCGCTTTGGATCATCGTCATCATCACCGGTAAGTACACTCCTATTTATTGTCTAGGAAAGTCTTTTGTGTGAAGCAGTGTTCCATATTTATTTCAATGTAGTTTATTTGGCATATACATCACAGTACTTATTCCAAATTGTGAAGTCTTTGTTTGGTGGCCTTGTGTCTAACCTCATTGTTTAGCTACTAAGGTTTAAGTTTTGAATATCGCGGTTTTGACTTTCGCGGCGCTTTACAAGAACGTAACCCCCGTGACAATTCAAGGGTCTCCTGTATTGTGTTGTTTGATTAGACGTGATTCTAGATTTGAAGCTTTCGTGACTGCAATGATTCATACTCTTAGGTTTTTTTCGGTAAAGTCACGTAGGTAATTTTTTTTTAAATAATAAAAATAAAATAAATTATTATTTTATTTCAATTTTTTTACCTACGTGACTTTATGGAAAAAACCTAAGAGTATGATTTAACGTGCTCACCTGAAGGAGCTGTATAGTTCTTAAGTGTTTAAAGATGCATGGAAGTGTTGGCCTGAGGCCTAGTTTAGACCTAGGCTAAGCCCTTGCAAGGCGACATCAGAATCAGAATACAGTATTTATTTATTTATTCTGGAGGATTCCGATGAGCTATGAACCTCTTGTTCACACATGTCCAGACGTTCACAGATGTCCAGATAAAGATACGGCACACATTACTACCTGTGCAGACCCACCACCAACAACTTAGGATCCTTATTACTCTTGAAATGTGTTGCTTTTTGAAACACCAACTACAGTATACTATCTATGTTCTCATCTATAATGCACTACTACCTGCGAACGCTCTCCCCGTGAGCACGAAATGTTTTATTGGGAATGTTTTGCTCTCACGCCGAGGTCGATCACAGAGACGTCACCCTGTGTCTCGTGGATTTCATCTGATATTGAAACAGACGTCTAATATTTCAGCTACTGTTTCAATACAATTGATGGGCATACGTTTAACAAAAACACGCCCATGCACCAAAAGCATAACCTAAAGTCAAACGACCACACAGTCCCACCACTCCGAACACCCTAAGTTAGTTCTCAAGCACACACATCGATTTTCCACTGTACAACCGAGCCGTGCGCAGTCATCTCGGCACGGCTCTGGAGGTGGAAAGTTTGTTTTCCACTGCAGAGCTAGAGCTGCTTCACTGTCACGTGACGGAAATGATTAACCCCCCCCACGGCCCTGCTTGGCCACAAGCCAGATTCATATGTTTTGTGAGGCCAGCGTATCACAATGTTGTCCCGGTTCAGCACGGCATTTAATTACCAGTGCCACCAAGGCCACACGCTCGCACGGCTCAAGGTGTGTCAGGGGAAAGGGTTTCACGTGACGTGGATGCTTTAGCAATCTCCCAGTGCCAGGCTCGGTGACGGCTGGACAGGGGAGCCCTGCCCCACAAGCACATGCGGCAGGTGACATATTATTTGCGGGTGGTGGAGGAGCTAAGATACATTTTAGGGAGTGGCAGAAATACATTTTGAAGAAATTGAAATGATTGAAAACGAAATTTTAGCAAACCGATGTCCAATACTAATGAGAGAGGGCAAGTTTGCCACGAGCAGAGATGGTAGATTCGCGACCCAATGGCCCGCTCGGGGTCCACATATTGCGTCTGTCTGCCACGTAGTTCTCGAGTGGCGGCGACCTGGCGCCCCCTCCGACGAGTCCGGCTCGAGAGGTTGTCCGTGGCAGCTGGGCTCGGGCGCTAGCGCCAGTGGATAGATTCGAGGCGGCTCAGCCCCGCTAGCCACGGCCACCCGCTGACTACGGCTACGAGGCGTTCCTGTCCCAAGCCACAAGCACTCAGACAGTAGCGATGCAGCAGCTGCAGGCACAACAAAAGCCGAGATTCGCCACTAAGTGGCAGGGACGTCATCACGGCACTTGTGCCAGGCCAGGTGCACTCCGAGGCCACGTGAAGTGTTGAATCCTCGCTGACACAGAGGTCTCGGGACAGGTCCAGGTGCCATGATGGATTGACTGACTGAGATGACTGGCTGATGCGCCATCTGTGCCCCCATACTGTGCCAACTTGCTGCATTTTAGCCACCCGGCTAACACACAAAGACATACACAGACACACACATTCTCTCTATCTGCTGCCCGTGCCTCCTTTCCTAATGGTGAACGCGTGGTTGAAGTGTCCACCGGGCGCATGGGAACATCGCACACTCGACCCCAAGGGAGCCCTTCCTTGGGCCCGAGCTCACACGTCCCGAGTGTCCTCGCGGGGCTTCGTGAGTCAAAGGTCGCGCCAGAACGAGGTGCGTGCCCGAGCTCGTTAGGTGGACGCATCGGGTCCCCCTGCGTTCCGCTCCCAATCAGCTGCAGCCGTTGCCTGAGACCCCCGCCCCCCCTAACTCCTGAGAGATACCTCTCTCTCCCTGTAGTACCCGAGCACACACACCCCCCTCACCACCGACATACTCCTGCGTTCTCTCGCGAGCCCGTGGAGTTGTAGTCGCGTCTGAGACTGTGAATCTCGTGGAGTCGTAACTCGTTGGCTGATTAAAACAGTGACGCATTTAGGCAAACACTCTCAGTGATTACACGCGGGTGTGAGGGGAGCGTGATACACCCACTCACCCCAGCGTCTCTCACAACATTGCTACATTATATTAGCCTGGCCCTCCATTCACACGACTTTCTACTCATTATTTTCGTCTCGTCACAACCGCGCCGTGGTAGTCGGTAGTTGCCGGAGCCATCGTCACGCTTCATGATTTCCTAAATCGTTTACTAAAATAAAAACATTAAAAAGCTTCGTCGAGGAATATATTCGCCACTCGTTCATTTGCAAAATCAACTGCCACCTGAGACCCTTCGAGATGCCCCTCCAGCCCCCCCCCCACCAGCGAGGAGCTCACGCTCCTGTGACCTCTTGACCTCCTCGAGCGTTAAAAGTCCCGCTCGCTCTCACGGCTCCTCGTCGCCATCTCCGCTCCGGCGCTGGAGTGGCGCCGTGAGGATTTACATCGAGAGCGGCGCTTGCCGAGATGCCTCTGCAACTCAGAGCGCCTTGCATCACGTCGCATCTCAACTGTCCTGTTGCCCTGCGGCGGTGTGGCCTGTGGGACCCCCAGCTTCCCTTGCGTGGCGCCAGGTGTGTGCAGTGCCAGCCTGCCAATGGGCACGAGTCTACAAGTAGAGGGGCGATGTTGCGATGTGTATTTTTCCAATAAGTAATTTGCGAGTAGTTGATCAAATATGACAATGTCACCGGCATAAGTGGCCGAATCTTTCTCGAATAACGTCACGGCATCATCAACTGTGAAATAAACGGCGCGGGGCATTTGCCGTGAATACACCCGCAGTATTAACCAGGGCAGCCACCGAGCTCGAAGCGTGACCCTCTGCAACAAGCCCCAGTGCGTCACCGCCCCAGTGCGATTGCAACTAAAAAGTCAAACAAACAAACAAACCCCACAACGGTGAAAGCCTCACGGAAAATCTCTGAGATGGTGGTCAGAGTGTCGTGGGGCCGCCATTGGACCCGAGTACAATAAATCAAATGGGGAGGGGGGGGGGGGCAGCAAGCCTCATCCTCCCCCACCCCCTCTCAGTGACCCAGCACCGAGGCTTCCTTTGTCCCATAGGCGCTGGCGCAGTTGCACCTCCTGCGCTCTTGAGAGCTGGGCCGCCGCCGAGAGTGGCGTTGTGACGAGGCGGGTTGGTGGGGAAGGGGGGTTGGTGTCGCGTGCAGCTGCTGCCTCGTCCCCCGCACGAGCGCAGGGTGCCATCCACGTCGTTCTGCTTCCGCTCCGCCGCGATGCCTCTTGAAGACGAGGGCTGTGCCAATCGGCAGATGAAAAACTGGAATTCCGGTTGAGTAAATAATTCCTCGAAGCTCGTTAAATAAATTGATTTCATGTCCGCAATATTCCGTTTGAATTCCACAAACAGCGGTTTAAGTGGTTAAACGTCTAAAGGTGTTCTGCTGCGATTAATCCGCGTTTATTACGACGCGAACAGCTGGGCAATTGACAATTGTAGCCAACAGAAGGAGAGCGGCTCCTAGTAGTAGGTTTCCTTCTCTACCCAGCCTGCACACACACAAAGACAAAAATCCCCCATATCACATTTAGCAGACTGTTGGGAGAAGTGCTGTTAGCGAGCACCTATTAAGGCCAGCACGGCGCACGAGGGGGCGGGTGGTCAGTACCGTGGCCGTCCTCCTCCTCTGTCTCCCTAATGCGGATGTCTAAACACTGCACCAGTTACTCGTATTTAAGGATGAGTCGACCTAGGGGAGGCCCATGCCCACTTCACATTATTATCACCGATGTTGGCTTGTGAGTGGCAATCGACCTCGGGTTGCCGGGTTCGTAGCGCATTGCGCTAACCGCCGCACACGCATGTACGCACACACAATCAATATCATCAGACACGACAACTCATCTCTCCATCAAAGACCTAAACATGTAACGCTCATACACATAGCCCCATCCGGCACAGATCAAAGGTCCCGTGTTCAGCAAGTGCTCTTTGGTGAGGAGCACCTAATAAGGCAAAGTGGCTGGTGATCGTGACGCGTGGCCAGCACCCCGCCCGGGCACCACGGGCTAGGTTGATCTAGCAAGAGGTCCAGTCTGATCAAAATGAACTTTATTTGGATAGTTTTTTTAATCAGCTGTACTCCGACACCTACATACCTCACCTTGACCAACGTGCATGGACAGTGCATTTCTGCATTGCTCCAACTTTCCCACAATGCAATGTGCCAGCAACATTTTTTTTTTTCCTCTTAATACGAATTCGTTTATTTGGTAGCGATGCGCCCACAAGGCTGGGTCGCGCCAGCTGCAGCGGGAAGGCTCACCCCCGGGGTTGCGCCGGATGATGAGCTTGCGCACTTCGTCGTACACGAAGATGAGGATGCTGTAGGGGAAGGCGCAGAACCACCAGCTCAACCTGCGCGCGCACAACAACACCCACAACAACCACCACCACTCACTGCTGTGCCAGGATAGGTGCAGCTTGCGACCCAAAGGCACGCTGGCAGGTCACAGGGCAGACGCAATTGTCGTGGGGTTTATCTAAGTGCGTGTTCTCCGGTTGCCTGGCTCAAAAACTCAATGAAACTCAAAGCACTTTGTTTCTGTTCTCATCACTCTTCTTGCTCAGCTGCTGTTCGAGAATGGCTCACAGAAGCGGATATCACAGAGCTACCTCTGAAGTCCATGTAGGTTACCTCTGGCCCACACAGTCGAGGACAGCACTTGTCCACCTGCCTTGCCACGTGCGAGCAATGTTCATGTTATGACTCGAGTCGTGGGAGCTGACATTTTGCTAAACTAAGTATATAACTAATTGCTGCAGCGTTATGCGTTTTTGTGCGCAGCCATTGCGTGCCCTGGCGAACACCATGTGATTCAGCGCTACACCGGAGAAGCTCCGTTTAGTCACAAGGCAGCTTCTTGGCTTCGAACCCAGGATTCTCATAAGCGCCATCCCAACGCCTTGGCCTCTGAATCCACGCCCTACCACCTTCTGGGCAGACTCGGGTGGTGCGGGCCTACGATTGGGACACCAGCGAGCAAGACAGAAGCCGTGCGTCACTTGCAGGCCCTCGCTGGCGGGGACGATGGCTGATGGTCGAGGATATCGACGGAGTGGTGGCTAAGGAATGGAACGTCGCTGCGAAGAGATGGAATGATGAAAATGGGCTTGTGTAGAGGAATGGTGCGAGGTGGATGGAGACGGTTTGGCGAGAACTTCATCGAGCAGCGGATTGGTCATGGTTGACGACGATGATAATGACCATGAAAAGTAGAATGCTGGCTTATGAACAGACGAGTGAACGAGTGAGCGGGTTGGCCCTCACTTGAGCGGGTACATGCGCAGGGCCACGTCCATGCCCGGGCAGTAGGAGAGGAAGGCGGCCAGGGCGGTCTCCTCAAACAGCCCAAATATCAGCACCTTGTTCCTGGGAGGGTGACAGAGCAGCCGTCAGCAGGGGGCCTCCCTCACGGCCGTGCCCGCCGGGCCGCGAGGGGCGGCACGGCCGGTCCATGGGGGCCGCGGAGCGGACGTCACGCGAGGGCCCCGCCGCCCGACTCCAAACTCCGCATGACGCCAGACAGGCCACGCGACTTCGTTAATCGACCAATCGCGATGACGGTGGTGCGGTCGCACGAAGGAGCGCCGCATTTACGAGCGTCCGTGCGAGAGCCGAGGCGGCACTCACTTCATGCCCTGCTGGAACACGGAGTTGCGTCTCGTCTTGCAGATGATGAGATCGGCCCACTGCACCACGACGATGCTCACGAAGAACGAGGTGTGGCAGGTGTACTCCACGATCTTGCGCTGCTCGTACGTCTGGAACACGCAGGAATGTGCAATATGGACAAATATCCCCCATATAGCGCTAATAGACTGGTGGGGAAAGTTTTGTTAGCGAGCAGACACAAACACGCACGCATACACACATGCGAGCACAGTCTACCGCACGTCTGCCCTTGCGTGTGCGCATCCTTGGAGAGGCTCGTGTGGCGCGCGGACTCTCACCCACTCCTGGCCGTAGCTGTCCTCCAGCTCGTTCTGTGACCTCGTGTTCCATTCGATGCGGAGCCCCATGAGTTTGGACGGTAGGAACCCGTTCTCGGCCATGATCACAAAGTAGGTGAAGAATCCTCCCAGGGCCTGGATCATGCCTGGGACCAACAAACGTGCACACAGCAGACCGCAAAGTGCAATCCTGCAATTGGTCACTCACGCCACCGCTGGCAGAAGACCCCAAGTGATGGAGCTCTAGAGAGTCCCTCCAGAGGATATTTTGCCTAATCTTGCACACCGGTTTACCCCACCACACGTAGCCAGCCGATTGTGGTGTTCCCATTTATACGACTGAGTGGACAGAGGTCGGAGGGGAATTAAGAAAAGTGATCGATGTTTCAGCTGCCAGTATATCGAACCAGCAACATCTTGGGTTGCAAGTCCAGTGTGGTAACCAAGACATCACCGCAGCATACCGATAAATCTAACTGCCATGTAAAACGGCGCGGAGGTGATGCAAATACGACGGCTGATGATGTACTTCTGTGGGTTGAATTTTTGTTGCATCGTACGTAGCCAACTGTGCTAATCGGACGATGGCTGAGAATGTGCAAGTCCCTGCATCGCTGCTCCCTCTGTATCGTGGGACTGCGGTGGCCACGGGTAGCAGTGACCCTGCGTGCGTGCGTCGCGAGGCGCAGAAGGTAGGGTCGCGTACCGATCTGCCCGTAGGCGATGCTGATCAGCCGCTCGTTCACGAGTTTGTCGACGCGCACGTTCCTCGGCTGCCGCTTCATGATGTCGCTCTCCGCCGCCTCGTACGCCAGGGAGATGGCGGGCACCTGCATCATCACGCCAAACGCGTCGTGGTTAGGGTCGGGCTCCGGGGTCGGAGATGCCAAGATGCCACCGCCGGCGTCGAGATGCGCTGCCGTGCGCGCTGGCACCGCGGGGGCCACTGCTCACCATGTCGGTGCCCAGGTCGATGCACAGGATTGTGACGGTGCCCAGCGGGAGGGGGATGTTGCACAGGATGAAGAAGAGGAAGGGCGTGATCTCGGGGATGTTACTTGTCAGCGTGTACGCGATCGACTTCTTGAGGTTGTCGAAGATCAGTCGTCCTGAAACACAAACAACGGTCAGCGCTGGAATTGGCCCCGCTGTGCACTCGCAATGCGCAGGAACTGCGTCTCTCCACCCCGGAGACGATCGCTGGAGAGCCACCAACATCCGACAACTTGACACAGCATGACAACCGGTACCAGCAGTGGCAAAGGAGGCAATGGTGGTAGTGATGACACCAAAGATGATTCTGATGACGATGAAACTCGAGGGTCACTCACCCTCTTCCACGCCGGTGACGATGGAGGCAAAGTTGTCATCGAGCAGGATCATGTCGGCCGCCTGCTTGGACACATCAGAGCCCGCTATACCCATGGCGATGCCGATGTCGGCCTTCTTGAGCGCCAGGGAGTCGTTCACACCGTCTCCCGTCACAGCCACAATCGCACCCTGTAGGCAAACACGGAGAGACACGCACACACACACACGCGTGTCAACAAATCCCAGAATCGGCCGCTATGCCCAGCTATTGGTGCCAGAGGATCTGGTTTTACTTGGGGCAGCATGGCGTCTGTGTGCACGTGTGAGCACCTGTCTCTGGCAGCCCTCCACGATGATGAGCTTCTGCTGGGGGGAGGTGCGAGCGAACACGATCTCCGTGTGGTTCTTCAGGATGTCGTCCAGCTGAGTCTCCGTCATGTTCTTGAGGTCCGAGCCATGCACCACGCACGCCTTCGCGTCTCTGAGCGGCACAGAAGGACGACAGCAGAGCCCAGCATCAGAAAGCCGAGGAGGCCACGTGGGGACCGCGGTCTAGCGGGTGCCCCGCGCATTGGCCGGTGAGAGAGTGCTGGCCGGAATGCATGCAAGTGACCCCGTCAATTGCCCATATTTGTAACGTGAAGATGTCGGTGGGGACGATGAAGGTGGATGCGAGGGTGATGCTGGCGGACGTGAGATGATGGTCATGGTGGAGATGATAGTGGTGGATGTGAGACGATAGCGATGGGGGAGATGTTATCTTCACCTTGGGTCCACCTGGTTTACGGGGATGTTGAGTCGCACTGCAATGTCCTCTACCGTCTCGTTGCCCTCGGAGATGATGCCAACGCTCTTGGCGATGGCCTTGGCGGTGATGGGATGGTCTCCTGTTGCCATAATGACCTGAAATCCACACAAAGCAACATCACCATAATCAGCCGTTGGGCAGAAAATTTAAGAAGATCATCGTGCACTGTGAATAAAACCGCGCACCAATTGGAATCTCACCTTGATTCCAGCCGAGCGACACTTGCCCACGGCGTCGGGCACGGTGGCACGAGGAGGATCGATCATGGACATGAGGCCAACCAAGCACATGTCCTCCATGGGGAAGTTGATGTTCTCTGTGTCGAAAGCGTACCCCCTGGGGAACTGGTCGACCGGGAGGCGGAGTTGGCACAGCCCTGCGAGGCACAATGAGCATTACCCACGGTCGGCCGTCGGCCAACTCAGTCAAGCCGCGGAGCGCGCGGCCCAGCAGCAGCCTCTAGCGAGCGCCTGGGAGCACGCGCAGGAGCCGCTCGTAGGAGATTTCGTGGTTCGAGCCCGGCGGCCGCCCTGGTGAATACTGCTGCGGCCAAATTAACCAAAAATTCTGCGCAACTTGCTTCACAGTGGACGTTAAAGATCAAAGGCAAAGGGAGGGAGGAGACTCGGAAGAGTGGCGAGCATCAGGTTAGTGGTGATTGGCCACAGGGTCAGGTGAGGGTCACAAGATTTCATCCAGAGGAAGGGATTCTAGAGTTAATATTCGACTTGTTCACCCAGAAGAGCCTCACTGAGTCTCATGACTCTTTTTCAGGAGGGTCCTGCCCACATCTTCACAGCAGGGGGGAGGGGGTGGCGACAATTTCTCCGTAGATTCCAATTGAGTGATTTGCGGTGAAATTTATAGAATCTGGACCGTGTTTCCGGCACACGACGCCAATGTTCTTTCGACGATTCACACACCACCACCATCAACACCGCAGTATTTATCTAGGCGGCCGCGGGAACCAAAGCCGTGGTGAGCAAACACGACGCCGACACCGCCACTGGGTCGCGTCGCCGCCCACGCGGCGGTCGGCGACCACTCACCCAGCACGCACTCACCCAGCACGCGCTCGCCCAGCCCGCCCAGCTCCAGGTAGGCGTTCTGGAAGGCCTCCTCCAGCTCCTCGTCCAGAGATTCCTCCCGACCCTCGATGATGATGGAGGAGCAGCGGTCGAGGATGCGCTCCGGGGCACCCTTCATGACCAGCAGGTAGCGCGGGTCGTTTGGTTCATCCGACTCGTGGATGGACAGCTAGCACGCACGCAGAGACAAAGACCCCCGGAATAGCTTTAAACAGGCTATTGGGGCAAGTGCTGTGGGCGAACGGCCTATTAAAGGCTGTACGGGGGCACCTGTGTCTCTGCATGTGCAGGTACCTGGTACTTGATGGTGGAGTCGAAGGGAATCTCGGCCACTTTCTGGTTCCTGCTGCGCATGTCGCGCACGTTTCCTACGCACAGTTCCACGCATCGCAGCAGCGCCGACTCGGACGCGTCGCCAACCACGTTGCGCTGCGATGCACGCACGCACACACACGTGCGCACGCACATACACGTGCGCCCACACATGCACACACGCCCAGCACTCACGCCTGACCGACTTTCTCTCTCAGGGCCATTGAGTAGGCCCAGCAGCCCACACAGCTAAACGTTTCAGAAGCCGCAAATTTGTTTTCCTCTCAAGAGAACCATGTTGATAATAGGTTTTCCCAACAGCGTGTTTATTTCGGCCGCTTGTTTAGACAAGAAAGATCGAGTGTTGTACAATATGAAATGTATCTAAACGTCAAGAATTATTGATTGTTTAGTTACATTGTTTTTCTTGCATATAAAGGCAATTATCGTTTTGTGATCTTCCACCGTGCACTGCTGTCTCTAACAACGTTACCGGTTTATCTTGGCGTGCGTCTACCATTCACGCGAGTTATTCTTGTGCCCCCTAAAAGTCGGTCGTGCTTTGGTGTCTGGTGGGTAGCAGTCGTCATCGTCACGCTTGAGGATTTTTCTCCACTCGTTCCCCTTTTCCACTGGCACTGCATGAGCCGAGCCAGTGCAGGACCCTCACGGCACGGGTGGTTTTCCACTGTCTTATTTGCCGAGCTGTGACAAAAACCATGCTACGCTAGCCTCACAAGAAGACACCTGAATCTATCTCGGGGGGTCAAACAGGGCCATGCGTGGGGATAACGATGCATTTATTGTGCATAATGTCAGCCATTACGCTGAGGAAACGGCGTCGGTGCATCGCCTACACACGTCCCGATTTGTTCAACGCGTGCGATGTCAGTGGTAAACAATCTGGCGCCTCCTAAGCCGTGACGGCCTGGCACGGCACGGCCCTGGCGTAGCTCGGATTTGCCAGTGGAAAAGGAGTATCAAAGGCATCAATGGCCAAAAACAAAAACCCCACCCTTCTGACACATTCTTGAGCTGAGAGAGAGAGGGAGAGAGCGGGGAGGGGGAGTGAAGCGACGCGGTGAGCAGAGGGGCGGTCACTCACCTTGAGCACGGCCCTGCTCTCCTGGCCTGCCTGGAAGACGGCGCGGTTGCACAGCGCCGCCACGCGCGCCAGGGCGCTCCACGTCGGGGAGCTCCTGTCGAACGCCGTGCCTGGCGCGGAGGAAACATCGCGGGTGGTACAGGTGCAACCCTGCAATTGCTCGCTCACACCACTGCAGGCAGAGTGGCCTCCCGAAGAAGGAGCACCCTCCCGCCCGTCACGCCTGACAGCGACGGCGCCCTGCGTCCGCGCGCTCTCTCACCGGACTGGTCCTCCGTGGTGTCCGCCTCGTGGATCTGGTTGTCGAACCACATGTGCGCCACCGTCATGCGGTTCTGCGTGAGGGTGCCCGTCTTGTCGGAGCAGATGGTGGAGGTGGAGCCCAGCGTCTCCACGGCCTCCAGGTTCTTCACCAGGCAGTTCTTCTTGGCCATGCGCTTGGCCGTCAGCGTCAGGCAGACCTGCGAGCGCACATGCAATGGACAAAGATCCCCCATATAGTCTCTAACACACTGTTGGGGCAAGTGCTGTGAGTGAACAACTAGTGAAGGCCGGCACGGCACATGAGCGGGTGGATGGCCAGCACCATGCCCGGCCGCCTTTGTCTAGGGGAGGCCATGAACCGCTTCAAATATTCGACACTGTTATTATCCATGGGTGAGACTCGAACTCGGGTCGCCAGGTCTCGTAGCACAGCATGCTAACCAATACACCCCCCCTCCCCACGTTCACACATATACAACGTGCGCACACACAAACACGTGCATGCGACTAGACAATTTCCCCTCTCCTGCTGCTGTGAATTTCACTCTGGTGACTAAACACAAGTGCTTACAACATGGCGTCTCTGACACAACGTTTACATTCGTGGTACATGTGTTATTTTTTCCTGGCCATTTGCTGAGCTGAGCCAGAGCTTCAAAACATCTGAATCTGTCTCAGAGCCAAACAGAGCTCAGGGCACGGTCTATAATTTTGCTTGAATATGCGATTCTGACGTCACACACGCGTCCATCGCACTCTTGACATCAGCGGCACGGCTCGGGTTCTGCAGTGGGAAAAAAACAACCTCTGTCACCTCTTGAGCCATGGCCGGGCTGGCTCGGCATGGCCCCCCACGATGCGGTCGTGCAAGAAAACTCACGGTGACGGTGGCCAGCAGACCCTCGGGCACGTTGGCCACGATGATGCCGATGAGGAAGATGACGGCCTCCAGCCAGCTGTATCCGAGGATGAGCGACAGGATGAAGAAGGAGACGCCGAGGAAGACGGCCACGCCCATGATGATGTGCATGAAGTGCTCGATCTCGATGTTGATGGGAGTGCGGCCGCCCTCGAGCCCGGAGGCCAGCGTGGCGATACGGCCCATGACCGTGCGGTCACCGGTGTTGATGACGATCCCACGAGCAGTGCCTGCAGCACAGCAGCTCGCGCTCAGTCATCGGAATCTCCTAAATCCCTTGGACAGCCGAGAAGTCGGCTCGAGGAGAGGCTATTTAAACATATTTTCTTTTGCTTGCTTATATATTTAATCCCTAATCTGCCTTTCCGGGAAGCAAACCCAATGAGATTGGTTTCCATCGACATCCACTTTACGGACTCCAAAGCACCCGTGAGCAAAGGTGCACGGACGCGACACCCACCCTCGACGCAGTCCGTGGAGAAGAAGGCGATGTTGCGAGTCTCCAGCGGGTTGTCGTGCGTGAAGTTGGGCGAGCGACTCTGAGGCTCCGACACGCCAGTCAGCGAGGAGTTGTCGACCTGGGGGCGTCACGCAGGGGCACGGCGACCACCGCGTGAGACGCGCCGCGGCGAGGCGCCGTGTAACCCTATGAGGCACGTGCGTGTGATCCCAACTCAGATAGCCTTAATCCAGAGAGCGACATCAACGATCGCCATCCCACCATGACCCAATCTATCCTTGCGCACGGCGATGGCAGCAGCAGCAGTGTGTTCAGGAGCTGAATGCCGATATGGGGGTCTGCTGCTGCCCACGGCGATAGGGCTTTAGCAGATAGAGAGTTTGAGTAGTTTCGCTGTTTCTCCTCCTTTACTGAAGGAGTGCAGACCACAGCGGGTTTGCCGTGCGGTACATGGTTTGGTTGCATGGTCACAGTCGCACCTCCGATTAGCGCGGTTGGCTACGTACAGTGCGAAAGAAGTTCAACATACATACACAGTCGCACTGCTGTGGCGGCTTGTCTTTAATGTACCTCTGTGTGACACCTCTCTACGGGTCACGAGACATCACTAATGGAGGCGAGACGCATGACCTCTGTCCTTTTCCCAGCGTACCTTGCAGCTGTGGGACGACACAACGCGCAGGTCGGCGGGGATGCGGTCTCCGCTCTTGATCTCCACCAGGTCTCCCAGCACCACCTGCTCCACATTCAGCTGCACCTTCTCGCCCTCGCGGATCACCAGCGCTTGCTGCGCACAGGGCAATTGCGCACTGATTCGCAGGGTCGAAGGGATTCAGCTGCCGTGTGGTGCGACCCTGAGCACGCCGAGGTAACAAAGTGGGCTTGGGCAGGACAACGTCGCTAGCATGGATGACGGTCGGCGGTTGAAACTAACGATGGCATTGCAGCCAAAGGGGGGAAGATGTTCACTGTGGGGGTGGAGCAATGAAATCGGCTCGTGTGCGGCGGTTTCGCCTTGCTCATCAGCAGGGCAAGACCCCAGTTCTGGGATGAAGCGAGTTTCCCTTTGCCGCTCGGCAAGCGGCTACACCGTACATCTGTCGACGGCTGTGAGCAGCCAGGCCTCGTGATTAAGAACGGCGAAGCAGTCCCCGTGGAGCTTAGGCGAACGAGCCGGCGTCTGGCCAGGCGTGGCATTACCGCGTTGTTTGTAAGAGACAGCCAGTCCTCGTGAAGTGGCATATGGGCACAGCAAACCGCCTGCCAGAAACAGAAAGCTTCTGTCGTGCGGCATGTTGAACCGTCACTCCGAGAGTCTACGCTGATGTCAGGTAGAGCTGCGCGTATCTAAGTGGGGCGCTACCCGCCCACACGCGCCGCTGCTGCTGCTCCGGCAACCAACGCCTTCTGCTGAACGTCCCCAGTCGACCTCCGTTCATTGCGAGGGGGCTCATTCTCTGCTCTACATCACCTAGGAATCCCTTCCTTCCCCAGTCACCCCTGCACCTGTTCAAGTCCACACTTGAGAATTTCCTCTGAAAATGATTGATTGTCTCTTCTATAAAAAATATATATATACGAGTAACTACAAATATATATATATATCCCTTTGTTTGCCTGTGATGTTTTGTACAGCCCCTGGAGGTGCAATATCAATCTTATTGTAGTCTATTGTTTTTTAGCGGTTGTTAGAGGTGCGTTTGTGCATGTCTGTGTGTATACGTGTCTATGTCTGTGTGTGTGTCTATGTTTGTGTGTGTGTCTATGTCTGTGTGTGTGTGTCTATGTCTGTGTGTGTCTATGTCTGTGTATATGTGTGTCTATGTCTGTGTGTGTGTCTATTTCTGTGTGTGTCTGTACGTGGGGAGTGGAGGTACAGCGGGTAGCGCGCTGTGCTACGAGCCGGCGACCCGAGTTCGATCCCCGCTCATGGCCAACATTGGTTACAATTATCTGAACCGGTCCTGGGCCTCCGCAAGGTCGACTTAGCCTCAAATGATTGCCTGGTGCGGTGTGTAAACATCGCCACTTATGGAGACAAATGCTGCTGGACATGGTGCTGGCCACCCACCCCCTCGTGTGTCATTCCAGCCTTCATAGGTGCTAATCGCTAACAGCACTTGCCCTAAAAACCGGAGTCTTTGTGGTGCCACGGCATTGTGTGATGACACAGTGGGGAGCATTCGTGATGCATCGACCAGCACATCTCAGTCAGTCAACCCCATTCAACACCTTGGGTCTGTCCCATGGCCTCCTGCCAGCAACGAGCCTTGCACACTTCACGTGACGGCCTCAAAGTGCACGTAGCCTGGCACAAGCGCCACTGTGACATCACCATCACTTGAGTAGCGAACGAAAGCTGTTGTACTTGTGTGTGTGGTATATGTATCTGCTCAGGACCTGTGGGACCATGTTCTTGAAGGAGTCCATGATGCGAGAGCTCTTGCTCTCCTGGTAGTAGGAGAAGCAGGCGGTGATGATCACCACGGCCGAGAGCACCACCCCCAGGTACAGCTGCACATGGACAACAAAGACAAAGATCCCCCATGTAGCCTATGTCGACTGGTGGGCAAGTGCTGTTGGTAAGCACCCATCTATACAAAGACAAAGGTCCCAGGCTTTGGGGGATAGTGCTGTTAGCGAGCACCTATAAAGGCCAACATGACACACGGGGAGTTGGTATGCCTAGCACCACACTCGGTGGCCTTTGTATCTCCAATGGTGATGTTTACACACCACACCATAGGGGAGGTCCAAGACCTGTTTAGATATTCGTCACCGGTGTTGGCTGTGAGCGGGAATCGAACTCGTGTCACCGAGTTTGAAGTGCAGTACAATAACCAGTACACTACCACTCTTCTCACACCCACTCATCCACCCACTTACTCACCCACCCACCATTTCACCCACCCACCATCTCACCCAACCACCTTCAAATTTGTATTTGGGGCAGTGCAAAGTTACATAGTCCATGGTTTGGGGTTCGTAGCCGCAGTCCCGCACAGTAAGAGAGTCTTTTATTCTCCACGCGTGCATCAGGTGCACACTCTGGTATTGCCGTTGGCTATACCAGAGTGTGCACGGCTTGTTGTGTGTTCATTCCTAGGCACGCCAGGTGAAAATGATCTAACCTGTGTGTAGCAGGGCCGTCCCTTATTTTACCAATCGGTTTTATTACTCATCTGATAATCGGATGAGCACGAAAACAGCTGGGGGGGGGGGGGTAAAATAAAAACAAGTTTTACCTCTGTACCCACATATGCCGCTGGACGGGAGGTACTGGGTGGGGTTTTGGTGATGAAATCGGCATCATTTGCATCACGATGGGCGTGGCTTATACGGGATTCCCCGCTTTCAGGAGGCTGGACTGTGGGGGCGGCTGCCATTTTTAAAGGGCCCGAGTAATCAACCACAACAAAGTAGCTGAGTACTCTTCAGAGTCTGGCTAACCATGGCAGGGGAGGGCAAGACACCCTCTAGAGGAATGCCAGTGGAGGCTCTTCCATCAGCAGCTGCATGAGCAATTTAATGAACCGAATGGACGAACCGTCTCTGCTCTATGCTCACGTTGTCGTTGGAGGGCTCGTCTTCAGTGACGGCCTGGATGCCGTAGGCCAGGAAGCACAGGATGGCTCCCACCCACAGCAGCAGCGAGAAGCCCCCAAACAGCTGCTTGCAGAACTTGACCCACTCTGGGGTGGTCGGGGGAGGGGTCAGGGCGTTGGGGCCGTCTCGAGCGAAGATCTCCGCGGCTCGCACGTTCGTCAGGCCCTGATAGACGGGCGAGGGGACACGAGCATGTGCATCAACGCTCAATACATGCGGTGAGCACGGGCCACGGCAGTGGCACGACAGCTTTTGCAGATGTGGGGGAGGGGGTCGACGGTTAATCCTTTCACCCTTGACCTGCAAAGGTCACTGCCCTGTAGAGGCCCCCATCAGGCCTAGCGCCGCAGTGGGAAGATGTTAACTACCTCGCCTGGTATATGGGAGGTCGTGAGTGCCATCCCAACTGATGCTGTATATTTGTAGTATGCATGTTCTCCCCGCGGTCCCGTGGATTTTTCTCCGAGTCCTCCGGTTTTTCCATCCAAATTTAGAATCAACATGTGTTTAGAGTATTTGGCTGAAATACATTTCCAGGTCATAAGCCACATCATTAGGCTATGATTTGTGCAAGGTTGCTTCTGAAAAATAGCTTTATAGCTCAATGGGCCTTATCTGGTCAAATAAAAAATAGTTTAGTTTATTACATATGGCAGGGCCGTAAAGATGTTTTGACTGTTACTGGGGAAAACAAACTTTAGAGACTCCTGGGTGATAGAAATTTACATTTGCTGTCGTTTGTATTCACCGTGGTGCGATTACCACACCACCTTGAGCTCCTGATAGGAAAACATGCACAACCCATCGACTTAACGGCTAAATTAACGACGTCGTTTGCAGATAGCGTATGCATAACTCAGATGAAGTGGGCATGGAGGGGAGTAATCCCAAGCGCAGTTCAGAATTTCAATTTTGTTTCTTCCAGTTTGTTGTGTATAGTAATGATGAGAGTTTATAAAGTAGCGTAATTTATGCAAACTGCACCACACGACAGCGCGTATCAACAAACACACGGAGGTGCGTAGATCGAGATGTTTCCAACCAATCAGTGAGTGCTTATATGTGTGGGAGGAAACCGAAGCACCCGGAGAAAACCTATGCGTGTGAGCGAGCAGACAACGCTCCATCCCTGTACAGATTAGGACGGATGTTATTAGTCCGCATTTGCCATACCACCTCCTGTCGTGATCCACCAACCCTCGCTGCCACCTGCCGCCACCGCCACAGTGCCGGGTTACAGGCCACCAGCGTGGCCACCAACTGGCACCCAGTACGGTGTCTACTTCGCGTCGTGTTTGACCGTCGTATCTATTTGGTCTGCGATCGGACGACGACAAAAACATAAATCGCAAATACCCCGGCCTCTACGCCAGTGCCTGGAGGTGTACAACGTGGGAGTCGCGGTGGAAACGATGCACGAAGGCGATGGTAACGATGCGGGTCGTGCCGCAGTACTCACCCGAAGCAGATTGGTCCCGTACTTGTGGTGCAACTCGTCCATCGACAGCTTGTGATCGTCCTTCAAGCGAGAGCGAACACCACCACCACCTCAGCGCACATGCACAGATCTCATCGCGTGTCGCCTGCCTACTCTTCCGGCAGGCCCACCGGACTGCAAAATTCGACACTGCCGTCCCTCCCGAGTCCCAACAATCTGCCTCCGCCCTGGGTCAAGTTTAGTCAAGTGAATGCCTATCCCTGTAAACGTGTATCGTTGTACCGACGTTGCCCCAACTTTTCACAAACGTTGACCCAACGTTGACCCAACGGTTCCAACCACATGCCGTCGTTGGCCCAACATTACGCGTTTAATGGGATGTTGGCGATACAATGCCCTCCGGATTGCAAGTGCAGCGTGCGAAACATTACACCACTGTGGCAGCAACCCTTACAAGGATTGATCCAAATGAGAAATGGTCTTGAAAGCTCCTCTTTCAGGATAGCCGTGGGGAGCGCTACTGTCTTCTCCTTTGCACCGTTTCACCTCCTCCCACGCTGGAGGCGTCTACAGGAAGTATCCTCCAACGGGGGCGGCGAAACGTCGCGAAGGAGCAAGTAGCAGCCCTCTCCACCGCTTTAACGAACATTTCTCATTCATCTAGCCGTGAAAACCCTCATCAATACATCGATCCAAATGTTAAACACGTCACAAACACATAATGCGTTTTACAAATAGAGTATCATGAATCTGTATCGGACGAGCGATTGGCCATCGTCGTGAGATTGAAAGCGGACGTGTGAAGTCGCGACAAGATCTGCTTACCAAGGACACCTCTTTCTTCAGCTCTTCCATGTTGCTCTTTCGCTTCCAGCAGAACATATTGGGCTTCTCCTCGACCTTGTTGGGCGGTTCGTCCTCTCCACGCTGAGCGCGCCCCCACACAGACGCACAGACTCAGAGGTGGGCACGCAAACAGTCGGTGGACATCACGCGGACAACAGCTGGCAAGACGTTTTTCAAATTGCCACACATTTACACAAACATAGAGCAATCAAGAGCACTCCAAAAGGTTTGCTGCTTTGCACCTTGAACAATTTGGCAGGTGTGTGAGGAATGTGTGTACGTTGAAAAGCTAGCCAGTAGAATGAAGTTGATAATATTGGTCGCAAAAGCCTACGCTTTCACAACGTGTCTAATTGATTCCAGTAATTACGTCCATTTGTAATTATTGGTGCGCATCATCTCAGGAACTCTTCGACCGACCCCTCTACCAAGGCTTCCAGTCCCGAGCAACATTGCTGCCACTCACATCCAACGAGAAGTTGCAACTCGCCAGCTACTGGAGAAGGTCAACGCCAACCCGCGTCTGCCGTGACTCGAAGATCTCCAACATCTACACGCCGCACGCCTTCCGTCATCGTCATCGCGACACGCACCGCAGTACAAACAGCCGCACCATGACTACTCAGCAGACACCGGCTGGCAGGAGGAATGAAGGGCAAAATCAGCTCCAAACTGGTTCCTTATCGCGGATCCTACAGGCTATCCACCCGGCTTCACCCTGCCACGCCATCAGAGAGGGGGGGGGGGGGGGGTACAGGTATCAGGTCTCTATGGGGCCAACCTCCACCGTATTGGGGGGGCCTTCATGATGACAACGCACACCGCAGCTGCGGCTCTATACAAAGAGTATCGCGTGGTGTCGGTGACTATCCACTAAGTTTAGTGGAGGTCTGTTACGCAGTCGCGTAACTAGAGCAGGGCCAGAGTTGGAGGTGCCATGCCCCCGAACCCAGTGGCCAAAACTACGAGTTGGGGGGCCCCTTGACAGCCACCATGAGAGACGAATAAAATATTGGGGCCCCACCTGACCCATTGCCGCACCCCCTGTGCTGAGGGTCGGAGTTTACTCTGCCGCTGTCTCTGCGAGATCCGCACGCGGCCACCGAGTGCCCTGCTCACGGTCTCCCCACGCTGGATCAGTCATGTGGGCTGTTTGCCCATAGTTTATCACGCGCAGTAATAATAGTAGCCTCAACGGGTTCGTCAACAACACTGTGGGCTTGAAATTATTTTGTTTAAATCATAGGGAACGTTTGGTGCAATGGTCCTTTTTCAAAGCCCATGAATTCATTGAGTTTTTGTTGTTATTTACGCGTGCGCACGCCTGTCGATACAGCATCACCGGAGAAAGTCTTTATGACGCTATCTAATAAGTAGATATGGGGAAGAGGGATGTTGTCTACATATTTATTTATTTGTTGTCGCGCTGCTCGGTGCACGTTGCTGAAGGGTGAGGGGCGGGACCCTGCACCGGGTCAGATGTCACTCGCCGTCGGTATCGTCGGCTGTGGCCGGAACTCCAACTCAGGTTGCTGGGCCCATATCGCATCGCGTGAACCACTGCCAAGAATTAAAAAAGGATTTGTGTTATTTTTATATTTTCCCTACGCAAGATCCTGGCTTTGCCATCTCCGCAAGCGTTGCCTTCATTCGACCGGTACACATCACATTCCGGGTATGCAAAGAGCAAAACTACTGCTTCTCGGACAGATTTGTAAGTGTAATTATACCGTATCAATGTGGCGCATGTGCAGACCCACGTCTCAGATTTTATATTTTGAGGCCTTCGCGTCACGGCGTTGTGACGCTGGCCACGTGTTTTTGAGTGCCCTTGACTCAGGGCCGCCTTCGTCGATATCCTTCCAATCAAGGTGCAGATAGAAACTCTGCAAATGAATGATACGTGACCCCCACACACCTTTCTAGCTCCTCTACGCAGAGTCGACATAGTGTACGTATGTATGTTGAATGTCTCTCGCACCGTACGTAGCCACGCCAGCAGAGAAATAGCTGTAATATAATACCGTAATAATCTGTATAACTTACAGCCGTTTGATTTGTCAAGGCCACTGCTTGGCTTAAGGCCTGATAATGTGTTGGTTGTGGCGGTTGTTTGGCCATACTTCACCACACTGGTCAGTGCAGGTTGAAGAAATGGGTGGGGGGGGGGGGGCAAGACTTATTCAGACACCTGCCCAGGTCTGACCCGGTACAGTCCGGGAATCGGTGTTTGGGTTCGGGTGGCAAGAATTCATTTGTCCCAAGGTCTGGTGGTGGTGATGGTGCCAATATTCCATTGAACTTTATGACAGGAGACTGCACGGTTTTGATAATAGACTTCGTGCTGACTGAGGAATCTGTCCGGGTTTTGTCCACAGTGGTGAAGGTGGAAACCCTACTCCCCACTGATGTTAGCCATGGCCAGCAGAAATCTGACTCGGGTCACCGGGTTCATGGCGCCGGGCACAAACCACTGCACCGTTGCTCCCGCGGACAAACAGTGTACACGTGCCGGACGATCCGTTTATAGTTACCCCACTGGTTTCGAATCACCTTCGTATTCTATTGTGAACAGCTAATTAAATGTTGTGAAAGTGATGGCTCTCTGTCTTCGACAAGATAGTGTAGAGATTTAATAAGCACATCGAGCTTGGTGGGAAACGTGCAGAGGCTTTAAAATAAAATAACTCAACTCATCCATCAAGAACACTGTGACCTGGAAAGAACAAAATATATACGTGCGATGACGTTTCAGGCAATGGCTCTCCTTCATAGCACATAAGCCAGAGAGATAAGAGTTAACGAGAATGGATGCTGCACTTATTTACAATGTAGGGCCTGATTGGAATTCATTATTTTTTTATATTTTCTGATGACCAGCTTTAAATGAGCACATGAATAGTTTCACTCAAAGTAACAAACCCCTTCAATAATCACGACGTATTACCACTAAATAATAAACTGATTTATATTGAAAGTAAAATTATAACAAGTTATTAGCACATTGCATTGTGGAAATGTGCTATTGGTGAGACAAAGAACAACTAACAAAATAACAAAATATATATATTTCTCGATATTATATTAGTTATTTGTGTTGAGGGTGTCTATAAATGGATCGCCCTCTATATTCTGAACACATACGTGTGCCTGTTGCCGAGTGATAGGTAGCCACCCTGCGTCCGTTTAATTAAAGGGGGATGACAGGGTTGGGCGCTCTTAGTAATCCCATCAGGGAGTTGATTATCAGTTAGTAATTCCGAGGAAAAGTCAAGCGACGAGTTGGTGATTCGCAGAGATAAACACGATGGTGTAACACTCAGTGAGGATGTTCTTTTGGCTTGGCTGGCTCGGTTTTTTTTCTTCCAAAAGCTATCGTACCACACGTTTTAAGCCCAATGTAAAAGCGCAGCCCTGCAATGTCTCACTCACGCCACTGCTGGCTGAAGGGGGACCTGTAGAAACCCCCCTCCAGGTTAGACATCTTGGGAGAGGTGGGAGCATCCACATTTTACCCCACCGTGAGCGACATCCCGATCGACTAAATGCTGGTGAACACATTTATACTGCTGGCTGGATTGCAAGTCCACCATGCGAACTATGACACCGATGTGGTAGCGTCCGAGTGTGAATAAACCCAAGCGAATATGTTAGCTGCACGCAACGCTCATGTCCACAGCAGTCAGGGCCCCCAAGGAAACAGAATGCTGGCTCGAAGCGCTGGGCTGTGCATCGAGATAGACATCACCAGGTAACAAGTTCTACAGGTTACAGGAGCCCTGCCAGCAAGTATGCAGTCACACGGACATTCCTCCAGCAGGACATTAAAGGCACACAGTGGCCAATTGTGCCTACCAATGAAGAACACGTTGATCGCTGCATTTCTCGGATTTGTGCGGTGCGGTTTCCACCTGTCCCGGTCTATGTGGGATTAGTGGCTGTGGTTTGAGTGGCAGATACTGTGTTGATGTATCCCGAGATGTGATGGTGATGGTGGTACCATGCTGAACTCTATCACTGTGTCATGCACAGTCGTGGTAATAGACCGAGTGCCGAGTTAAAGACAGCAACCTTAATGTCTAGAATGTAAAGAAGAATCGTTTGATTTTAATAGTACAGTGATGATTAAAAGAATACTTTACTCTTAGGTTATTTTATTTTATTTATATTATTACTTTTAGTAATTTTTTATTTTATTTTGTTACCTATGTGAGTTTACCGAAAAAAACCTAAGAGTATGAATTCTTGCAGTCACGAAAGCTTCAAATCTAGAATTAAAAGAATACTGCTTCGTGCAGATGTTACATCTAACAGGCGTTGCCAGACAGGGCACTGCCACTCCACAAAATTTAGTAGATCTGCCACCCTTGTACCCTTGTGCAGTCGACGTACGGCCCGTTCTGTCAGTCCACTGCTGGATGCGAGCCTCTATGTGCCCTGTGGGCCGCGAGGGGTGTTCAAGCAAAATTCACCTCCGATTCGATGATCAGTGCGGGTTGAAGGCGACGTGGCGGTAGGTATGATACACCTTTCTTGTGCACAGTGGCGAGTCGCCCAATCCAAGCACTATCCAGGCTCAGAATTCGAGTGAAGCCCCATTGTGTCTCAAGATTATCTTGAAGTTTCCCCCAAAGTTTTCGCAGTACAGGGAGAGCGATATTGCTATATTGTTTATTTGTTGTGTGTTTAGTGTGTTGTCCTTCCCCCACACCTCCGATTAGCACGGTTGGTCACGTGCGGCGTGAAAGAAGTTCAACATACATATCCAATCCCAATTGAGATAATCTAGCAAGTACTCTTACAGCATTGGGATGTTTGAACAATACCAGTAAAGAGTGCATGGGGACTTTTGTGTTGTTGTTGGTAGGATTATAGCTCCGCGTATAACCGGGTGTTTGTGTGGGTTTGAAGGCCTTTGAATAACCCAGCTCATGGTAGAAGCAGTCTCTGTGGGTGGTGTCATGGTGAGTCCCGGCACCACCATCGTTGCTAATTCTTGACGAACAGAAGGTGTTGATCAAATGTCGTGGCGTGCTTGCGTCTGCGTTTTTTCTCCCTTCAATGCAAACACGAATGATTATGCTGACAACGGCGCTCTCTAAATGCACAGTGCTTACTCCAAACGAAACAATTAAGAAACGTATTAAAGTCAGCAGCCAATGCAGTAGTTGGAAAGACAATATAATTATAGTGCAGTAGTTCAGAGGAGTTAATGCACATGTTAAATAGTGTTTGCCAGTACAGTACTACGATATAATGTGCAGCGTGACAAGAATAATTAATGACAGCATTGCCAATTAATGGGTCATTGTGCATCTGTAATCTAAACAATAACCCGCCTGGGAACCATTGGCGAGGAGGAGCAGACACCGCCCGGCCACTTTCACGGCGTGGTTGTGCCCACACCCCCCACTCTCACCGCCCCCCCGGCCTCGTTTTTTTAAAAAAATGTTTGAACGAGAAAGAATTGGAGAGGATGGGGGGGGGGAGCTGATGGCATGAAAGGGAATTTGGGTTTCATTTAAAACCTGCACGACTGGTTTTTTCTTCTTCAAGAAAAGTCAGGGTTCCACCAGCTGCCCCTTTTGTGATGTGTCTTGTTGATAAGAAAGAAAGAAGCATAAATCATTCTGGATGTTGTCAATTATAGCAGTAATGCCGCTTACAATCTCTTCGGGATTCCTTGAACGATATGAAACAATCCACAGCGTGTCACGTGCTCGAGCAGCTGCGGTGCACGACGACGATTGGGCAATACGAGCACGTGTCTCTCGCTTCGATAACGGGGATTGAGTGACGCGTGCGCCTCGTTGTGTGTCGTGACGAAAAGATGCCCCGTGTAGCCTCAACAGGCTGTAGGGGCAAGTGCTGTCAGCGAGCACCTATGAAGGCCGGCACGGCACACGAGGGGGTGGGTGGCCAACACCACGCCCGGCCGCCTTTGTCTCCCGAGTGGCGATGTTTACTACACACTGCACCAGGTGCTCGTTTGAGGCTGAGTCGACCTAGGGGTGGCCCAGGACCGGTTTGGATAATCGTCACCGGTGTTGGCCGTGAGAGGAAATCGAACTCGGGTCTTCGGTTTTGTCGCGCAGCGCGCTAACCACTGCGCCACCGCTCCCTTGTGTGTAGGCACAGGTGACACGAAAGGCAGCGTTCTGTAGCGCAATCACACAAAATCAAATCAAGCACACATGTGTTGTTTGAAAAGAAGTCCAAACCCGCACGCGTCTTTCCTCATTCCAGATTATACGGGCGGGAGCTATGTAAAGTATTTACCCGTGTCGATTCACAGTTTAAAGTACAAAATTAAAATCTGTATTTAGACTGGAGGAATCCAATGAGCTATCAAGCTGTTTTGTTAACAGATCACCTCGTTTTGGAACACAACACTCAACGCAGTCGTAAATAACACTTGCCTCTAAAGAGACAAACAACGTGTTTTAACAGTAGGATACAATTCAGAGCGGAGAGACTGAGAAAGGGTCACTGCCCGAAACGTTGCCTGCTTGTTTTCTTGTTTGAGTACAGCTTCATGAACACGTGTTAGGTGTCTGTTATTTATGTTGTGCACCACTGTCCCCCGACTCAGTACCACGCAAGAAACTTTAATTTATTTATTCCACACAGGAACTCGGGTGCTTCACCATCACCACCAGGACCGGTTTAAGTCGGTTATAGCCACATTGCTGCCTGTTCAATAAAGGCGTTATTCACAAGACAGGCAACAAGCAGTGGCATCCGCACTCACCCCACGCCCCATGGTCAAGCCGAGGACGATGCCCAAGCAGAGAGACGGGTGGACGGGAAGGCAGGTTGAGTGGACAAGGCGTCCAAGCAGGTCTTCTCTCCTCCTGCTCTCAGCCCGCACTCTCCGACTTGGCACTCTGTTCGCATGCCCTGTGGCCACTGAAGCTGCGCCTCCCCCTCTTCACCTGCTTGCTCTCACCTGGCACGGCGCGCTGGGTCACGCCTCTCTCGCAAGCCTGACCAATGGCCCAGTACCACTCGTTCTGCTCCGTGACATTCACATATTTCCTTGAAGGTCGTTTGCATTTGTGCAGACCTTCGTCAATCCACTGCTGGATGAGAGCCTCGATCCCACGTCGTCGTGGGTCAGGAGGGTGATTTTGGCCATAATTCTCCACACTGGTAACAGTGCGTTGGTGAATAGGCCGAGGGATAGTACATCTATCCCTCGGCCTATTGACCAGCATATAAGTTCAGTACAACGAAGGATGTTTTGCTTCACTGCCATGTGCTGCCCAACACACATAACCCCATAGCGTTGCATATAGTCACAGTATCAATGGGTTATGGCACATTTAACAATAATATCGATTAAACAACATTGCGATGACAAATTGCCACTGTGGAGCAATCTATTATATTTCCTCCAAAGTAAAGAAGTTTAATTAAAATGCCAGGTAAAAATCTATCAGAATACAATTTCATATGTTTCAAGGGAGACCTGGGGACGTTTGAGCAGAATTCCACACTTGTATTTTCATGAACACGTAATGTGTGCTCCTCTGTGTGTATGTTTGTGTGTGTGTTTGCACATTTCTCCAGTTATGCCCTCGGAGTGTGCTGTGAATTTTGATCAAATATGTGCACACGCACATTATTCAAACCTATCACTCGTACCGGTTTATAAGGTGCGCTGTCGATGTTATAACTGCGTCAAATGTGTTATGCATTAATATACGTATACCGTAAAACGCCATATGATTGGTAAATCAGCACATGCGGTAAAAGGGTTTCATATAGGCAGCTTGCTGCTCAGATCGGTAGAAGCGGCGAGCAAATGCAATGTGCGTATCAGTGAATGTGTGGTGGCGACTAAATCTCTCTAATGGGTTTAACTGCTCCAAGACCCTCACCATCTCGGGGCATTGATTTCGATCGAGTCGACGGGGTCAAGGGTGAAATGCATTCATTCAGTCCAATGCCTGCCATTCCCTGGATGTAGCCACCCATACCTCCTGCTGTCTCACATCAATGAATTATTCCAGTATGAAAATAAATAAATAACCAGCTGCTCGGGCTCGGATCGATTATTGAGTAAAAAGATGACAGGGTGTTGCATCTTGTATATTACACTGTATTAAATCTGTTGCGAACGCCTGCAGCATCGGCAAAGTGCCAGGGAGGCACTTCCCTGTAGATGTGGCGTTGCAAGGTTTCCACCTGGTGGATATATTCAGCCTCTGCAAGCATCACAAGTAATCGCATTTGTGAAAATAAGAACCAAGACATCACAGAGAAACCGGAATGTTGTTTTCGGCCAACGTGGGAACGTCTGCACCACACAAAACTAAAAGCAAGCTGCAAACCATTCGGGTTCCGTTGTGTGTGTCCAGGAAGTCCCAGTGTGTACATGCGTCTGAAAGTGGATCAGTGCTAACCGGCAGATGTGTGCCGTGAAAAGCTAACGCGCGCTCGGGTAGAAGGCTTATTTGAACGAGATAGATTGTTCTGCTGCCAGTAATGGGACGAGGAGGCAGCAGATATGGCACACACGGGGGGAGGGAGGTGGGGGCAAGGCCAGGGCAAGGACAACCAAAGGGCAGTGGAACAAGGATTATGATAAATAGGCTGAGGAGACGAATGTTCTATTTCCGAGCACATCATTCTGTGACAAGTGATGCGCTTCAGGCCATCTCATTGGCCATACATCAATATCCGTGCTCCCGTGGTTCAGGGTCTTGCGATTCGTAGACATTTAGATGCTTTATAAAATCTCAATTTATATAATTGTGTTGTAAAATCCTATAGAAATTAAATATGACACAACAAGATAATGAAGAACTTCACTCTACCGCTCCATCAAGATTTTAGCCCAAGGCTAAAATCCTGGAAACCGCTCTGGATAAGCGCCTCCGCTCTAGCAGCCGAAAATAAAGTCACCGCCACTCGGTGCTCTGAATCGTGGGCGGCTATGGACGTGGCAAACAAAACATAATTCGCGATCCGACGGTGGAAGTACCGGGATTCTCTCTCCCACGACGACTACGGACCACGCTGAACCGCGCTCGAACACGACACGGCAGATGCGCGTGCACGTTCCATACATGGAATCAAAGAATCTCCCGACTGCGACTGTGGAGAAGTCCGAACCATCCAAGCAAGTCGCCGATGAACGCTCCACCCATGCACATCCTGGCGGTATCGCTGACATCCACACTGCGTCAACCACATCATTGGGCTGGATGAGGAACCTTTGCATTCATTTGTGACGATCATTAAGAAAAAATATAAACTTGTTTTTCACAATGCCCTACGAAAAAATAATATAATTAAATAACTGACAGGAACCCAAAACAAAATACATTCAAATAGATGTTTGTTTTTGTTCCAGCTTGTATCACATGTTTGTATATAATGAATCAGTGGCACCGTGGTTAGTATACCGCACTATGAGTTTGGCTATCTGAGTTGATTACTGACTGTGGCTAACATCAATGGCGAGTGGTGGAGTAGGGTAATCAACTCCGTCCTGACCATCAGAGCAATGGGAAGCCTTCACCCAGCAGTGGATTGACAGGAGGATGTCAACAAGTATTTATATCGATCATACCTGCCTACTATCATTGTTGATGTTTGAAAGTGTGATACTTGTACTGATTGCCGGTCGAGCCCCAACAGTTTATTCATTATTATGATTATGAGACCCGGGTCAAAGCCAGTCCAGAGTTTTCCAGCTTAATACAATGGTGTTGGATAACGTTGATCCACGAGGCCAAGGGGCTGATGTGCGCAGAGCTGGGAGGACGTCTGTGCTTTAATGGTGTTTGTTTGGTATGGTGCATGGTTTGATTAGAAATGGACTGCATAGGGTGAGTGGTGAAAGCCTCGCTTAAGTCATAGGGGAGGTCTGATTTAATCGAAATACAATATTGGTGGAATAGTAGAAGCCTGGTCTAATTGGGTATTAATCTGATAATACTGTTTCGTATTATACAGCGTAGCCCGTGCAAATTGTATCCCAAAACACTGAATACCACAAACAGGCTGGAATTCAGACAGGCAGTGAGCCTGTGCCAACAATGACCCAAGTTCTGCGGTTTTCTATATATCCAGATGTTCTCATCCAATTAATAAATTGCATAATACCTTTGGGTATATCAGTTGACACAGTCGAGACCCTTCCAAACGAGGTGTTCCATGTCAAGGGATTTTCCAATTTAAATACTTTAATGAGAAATGTCATCCTGGTCTAAGTGGGCTGCTCGGGTACAACTGGCCTATGTTTGGCTATGGGTGTACATTGTACAAGCTGTCGTCTTTGTGTTCATACTGCAGGCTTGCTCTCGTTTGTGTAACCAGATGAGAACGCAACAGAGCAGGGATGGCAAAAGTGACCCCTTGGTCAACTAAATTGCAAAATGGACAACATTAAAATAAAACAATGAAAACATTAAAATCACACCAATACTAATAATCTAATCAGAAATGAGAGCAGAAACCAATCAACTAGAAATCAGATAAACAAATATAGAATGGGGGGGGAGGGGGGCTTTACTGTTGAGTCTGATTCTGAATTGGGGGGGGCTGGGGGAGGGGGCTGGGGGGACTGGGGGGGGCTAGGGGGGACTGGGGGGGGGCTGGGGGGGGACTGGGGGCGGGGCTGGGGGGGACCGCTGCTGCTGCCCCTTCGCCCCCGCGCAGTCTCCACGACGTCCGGGGGGTGGGGGCGAGGAGAGGGGGGGGGGCGTGGGCGCGTGATGGCGGCCCGTGACGTCACGAGGCGGGCTATATAAGCCGAGGGCGCCGCGCGTCACGTGGCCCGTTCACAAAATGGCGACCACCCCCGAGCATCAGCAGCAGGAGGCACAGGTGAGCGGGGAGAGACAGACGCGGGCTCCCCGGAGCCTCGCCGGTGACGGGACGAGTCACAGAGACGCACCGTAGGAGGGGGGTGGGGGGGGGGGACAGGAGGAGTTAGACAGGTGGTTGGGGGGTGATCTGGGGTAAGCGGGACGGCACCGGCACAGCGGCGGCGGGCGGTAACACCGAGCCAGGCACGACACCGGCTCGCATCACCTCGCCCCGGGTACATGGGGAGGCGCGCTGTGTGCGTGGCTCCTTCACACCCACCTCGTGTATGGAGAAGTATGCGTTCATTTGTCTTCTCTGGAGGGAAGGGGATGCCGTGAAGCGGCTCATTGTCGCTCTCTGCCAGCGAAAGCTTTGACTTGTGGGTCTAGGGACGGGCCATGTTGTCGATGGTTTTGTTTGAAAGATCATGTGGCTCTCTGTGAGGGCAACCATTTGCCTGTGGCTTGGTGTGGTTTTGTGAAGGGTATTATAATAGTAGTGTGTGTGTGTGGATCGTTGTTCATCTGTAGGATAGAATACGTCGCTCTGTGTATCTAGGCAAACCCATGTGGTTGTGTGGCTGTCTATGATTGTCCATGTGTAAGGGATCTCCAAGTGTGTGCTTATCGGTGTAGAGGAAATCGTGTCTGTGTCGGGGCGACCACGTGTCTTTGTGTAGCTCTGTCTATATCAGAGCTTGTCAATGGCTGTATGCAAGGGAGATTGTGTGTGTGTGTGTGGTAGACTGCACCGTTATCTTTGTTCCCCATTACCTGTGGCAGTGGTCTTCCATCATCTCCCGAGTGTCAAGACGGATTCGAGGCAAGGGGGAGGGAGCACGAGTTAATTTTATACGGGCACGCAGACAGCGCGCCATCTCGCATTCGTGCGTGTGTCAGTGTGTGTGATAACCCCGTGTATATGTGATATGCATGTGTGTTATGTGCTATATGTGTGTTATGTGCTATATGTGTGTGTGTGTGATATTCCGTTGGAACGATCTATTTTGGTCGCGGTGAGGCGCGCAGCTATTTCTGAGGATCTTGAGTCTGCCAAGCCCGCCCGGCCCGCCTGGGGCACTGTGCCCATCTGCCGGCTCGAATTCAAGTCGGGAGGGAATGTGTCCACCCGATGTCTCCGATTAGAAACACCGGCAAACAGAAAGGATCGAGAGCTGAAAAGCGATCAAACGAAGCGTAGGGGGAGGAGAGAGAGAGGCACATGCTTCGAATTGAAACTGAAATGGGAACGTGTGGTTTGGAGGCGAGCACTCGCGTCAGAATGCGTGATTATTCGTGTGCGTAACAATCGGCACGCTTGGGGCAGGACACGGGGCCCTCCCTCCACGTGACGGCTACAAGGATGATGGGTGGACCCGGTGGTGGTCGAGACTTCTAACCACGTCGTGGCAACCTCGCGCGTCAACTCGCCCCAATTGTGGTCGCGTTGAGAGAGCGTTGGGTTTGTAGGGGTGTCAGGTCGGATTCTAAATGCATGAGCGAGATGATTCTTTGGTAGCGTCGTGGTGACCGTGAGGGGATTGCGACGTCTTTCTGGGGTTGGGGCACTCATCCAGCGGTGGATGGGATCAAGGCCCCGCTATTAATGATATCGCGTCTGATAAAATGTCACGGTAGATAAAATACAACGAAGGGAGAGGAATTTGGCAGCTTCAAGGCACCGTGGGTGGGTTTTACATTCGCCGCTATTTTTGGGTCCCCTCGAAATTTAAATGGACCGGTTTTAATCCGTTGAAATTTCAAGAAGGTGCGATCCTCCGCGCTGTTTTTGTCGAGATCAATGGGGGGCCTCCTTGTATCGGGTAGAAAATTGGCTCTGCGCGAATAGTCGGACGGCCGCGTGGGGGCGCTATGGCCAAGCCAGAGGCCAGAAAGCCACCCCGATCAGGGGCCCCGTCCAATAACGTGGCCATTGACAAACCCACGACTCCCTGCCACTGCGAGTGAGGCCTGCCAAGCAAGCTGTCGAGTTTGACAGAAACCGCGATCAACACGTTGACACTCTCTCGCGGGCCTGCGAGAATCCTGGGCAAATGAATTTAATATAATGAAACGTGCCGGTGTAATTAACCCTGCTGCACACGTTGTGACGGCACTGTACTGCGAAATAAAGTGTTCTACTTTCTTCCAGGAGATGGCGGTGCTAGGTGTTTTTCCGTGGATTTCGAAATTTGCTTCCCACCATACGCCTCTCGTAGCATTTGCCAAGCATCCAAATGCAGGACCCTCCTGCACAGTATGAGACTCTGTAAGGCTTTTCTGGGTAATTGATTTACACGTAATGGAACTAGCTGACGTACTTCGATTGCTGTCGTAAAGACACCCTATTGCGAAATGTAACCGTTACTTTAGGAGAGTCAACATCCTACACAAATGATCATGTCACCATTGACTGTTTAGTGAGTGGGCGTAGGCAAAATACGTTGCTAAGAGAAGGGATGATGGCCAGCGGTCAACTTAACTATGGAGTAGCAGCCAAATGAGAAAATGAGCCCGAGGCGATATCCCCCGCGGAGATTGAGAGACGAACTCGGCTCGTGTGCAGCTGCTTGATGAATGATTTCATTGCCTGACCATGAGGAATGGAAACTGTTTGTGGAAGCCTTTATCTTACGATGACTTTTAAGACTCCTCTGCCCCTCCACGCGTGTGTTTTTTAAAGCGACGGTCTTGGTTTGGTTTGTGCTACCAGAAGAGATAGATGGGTGGACTTGTCACATGGATGTTACGGTGCATGGGTTCAATACGGTTATTTTGTCTCCTAATTTTACAATGGGTAAAAAAAATTGGAGACATACAGCCTTAACTTTTAGGATGGATGTGTGTTTCAACACTTATTCTAATGATCCAATTTGAATAAAAACCTATTACAAATAAGAAAAAGACATGCCTTTGACTAACTCGCTCACAACGCACATGATCTTGCTAGATTCCTAATACAAAGGTTTTTGGGTTAGATCGCGTTATTCCTAAATGTGTTGTAGCCCTCCGCCACCCGACACGGCCAAACGGTAAAAAATGTGTCACGTTTACAAAGGACAAATAGTTAACTACTTTAGCCCACCAGTGTGAAGAGTGAATCAACATTTAAAATTTGAGTGACGTTTCGCTGGTAATTACATTTAGCTTCATCGGGTGATTTGCCAGAATGGTGAGGCCCTCTTGCTCCCAGTCTTAAATCGAGCAGCAGCAGGGTGACGTCGTCATTTAAATCAATCAGGTGCAGTGATTTGAGGCGCGGAGGGTATTGTAATTATATAATAGATTTGTAATCATTCAATTGTTATTAATTGGTATTTGTTTTCCTTATAAGGAATTATTTTATTCTATTTTATTTAATAATACATTTCCAGGTGGCACTAAGCCAGCCTGTACCTGTCAGAGCGATTAAAGTTATTTGTATTTCTTTCAATTTCAATGGATTCTCTAATTAGTCTTGGCCAGTAATACTTAGTTTTACACAACACTTCAACGTTATCAAAATCAATTGAGTGTCCTTGTTGACAAGCATGCTCTGCCACTGCCGACAGTTGTGTTCGAGATAATTTAATATTTATTTGGTGTTCTTTTAGTCTTACGCTGTTACGTCCCGTCTGTCCAATATAGCATCTGTCACATAAACAATTAATCCGATAGACACCTTATAATAATATTGGTCACGAAAGCCAACGTGTTAAACTGATCTTGCTAGATGTCAAACAAGGTCGAGCCTGGAATAGTGCTTGGATGATCACCATATAATCGGTGTTGATAGGTTTTGTCCGATGTTGTGGACAGCACACTGCAGTGTCGCAAAATCCATTGTTATACTATACTATTCTCCCAAATGTATGCTCCCCGCCTCAACCCACAATAATCAGTGCGGTTTGAAGTATGTGCAAGTCAGCCCCCACTACCTGCACAGCATGAGGGAAACCCGCATCCAGCAGTGAATTGTACCAAGGGATTGCACATAAGAACAATCTGTTTTTATTTTGTTTTGCTGGTCACTCGATGTGCTTTGCGTGTCATCTTGGGCAGTTGCACATATGTAAGGGCAGATGGACTTCCAGATGGTGTGCTTGTGTGGAGGGGTTTGCACGTCGCACGATTTAAGTTTTTTTTTAAGACCTCGACAAATTAACTGTGTGAAATGGAGTCTCAACCTGAAAAGTTCTGCGGGGCTGGCTCACGACACCTCGCAATGCAGCTCCGAGGTCCTGTATCACAGGGCACCGAGCAGTGCCCCTCATTTGCCCTTGCCTCGTTACATGAAGGAAATGGCCACAAAGTTGCTGTATATTGGAGGCTCATTCCTCTTAAAATTACCTTGTTCAATTGTTTTTTTTTTAAACCGTGTCGTGTTATCTCCTGTCATCGTCACCGCGAAGTTGTGAACCCCCAGCCGCAGCTAATCTGCCGATAAGTGCATGGGGAACTGCCTGCAAAGCGGCGGCGATGGACAGAAGAAGCCTTGGTGGAGAGACGTGTGAAGTAACAAAATGGTGGTTTTATAGGGGGGTGGGGGGGGATTAATTATTAATTTTGTTATTGCAGTATATGTTTTACCCTACCCTTGGCAGTGAAGCACTCCCTCGTGTTTACTCTTCCCCCATGATGGTTACAACAAACACGATGCACAATGTACGCTCTTGAGCCCTTTTATGACTGCTCTACTTGGGTGTTATTTTTCAATTTTTTTTTCCCCAATCCCTCCCACCCCTGTATATTCATAATACTCTCGGCTACCGTTGTGCCATTAAAAAAAACTAGACACGGTCCCTAATGACACGGTCTAAAGATGAAAATTTTAAAATTGTAGGGGATATTTTATGGAACTGGCTCTTAGCAGCGATGAGTGCTTGGCAGAAAGGTCATTGCCCACAACGTTACCACTGCCATCGCCGTATCACAGTCGTCTTGTTGCTCCATGTTCACACATGTACGTGTAACAGACATTTATAAAGAGAGCATCCAGATGCTTTAAAATGCATTGTTGGCCCTTTGGGCTAAGTTGAT